AGACAAAAAGAAAAAGAGTTTGAAAAGAATAATGAGGAAATAAGAAATTTACTTGCAAAGTTGGTAGAAACTAGTGGATCCAAACCTAGGATTGTTCCAACTAGATCTCAAATAGGAAAAGAAGTTAGAGTCCCTAGGAGTATGCATGAGGAAGAAAATACAAAAAGAGAGGAAGAACTTAGAAGGAAAGAAGAAGAAAAGAAAATAGAAAAGAAAGAAAAAATAAAGAAAAGTATAGAGAATGTTAAAGAGTGGCTATGCAATGTTGTCTTTGAGACAGTTCTAACCGTCGTAATGTAGGCCATATAACCGTCGCAAAATCGTCATTTTCTTGTAGTGAATTTAGAAATTAAATTTAAATGCTAAAATACTTCAATCTCATAAATTTAAATAAAAGTTAATAAAATAAAATAATTCAATTTCATAAAGTCTAAAGCTTTTGTATGAATCTTTGTGTCATGTGAGAGGTTTAAGCTTGAAGATTAGTGTAATACTCCTCAAATTTGACCTCTCACTGACTTTACTTTAGGACACTTTACATAATTACACTTCATACAATTTCTCATTTATCAGAATCTTTTACCAATCAGAATCCTTCATGGGTAGTCCTTTTTGAGATGTTCGTCTGCTTTTATGATCAATGACTAATCCCAGAAACCAACACAGACTATTCAGTGTATTTTGTCATCACTCACTTGATTTTTGGGAAACTTCCCAAAAAGTCACACATCCCTAAATTGCTCCAAGTTAAACATGCTTAATTATGAAGTTCTTTTGTAATGAACTGTCAAAAAGTAGATGCATCTTATTAATATAAGTAGTATAAATTAGTTCTTCTAAAACATCCTCAATTGTAAAATCTCACATGTGTATAGATTTCTAGATCTCTCTCTCATTCTAATGTATCCGGACTATTACAATCAATCTTGTCTTATATGTGTTGAGTTTAAGCTCTACTTAGCCATTTGTTAAATTTATCCATTGTTTAGTCATTTGTTACGTCTAAGCCTTGGGCTTAGCCATATGCCATTTGTGAGTTATGTATTGTGTTGTTTGAATGAATCCATGCATATCAGGCATCTCTCAGCTTAGAGGCATTTGTCTAAAAATCAAGTAAGGATGATCCCTATGATCTTCAATCTTAACCTTGGAAGTCTTTATAGTAGAGAGCTTCTTGTTTACATGTTAATAAAGTAATAATCATGTGCACCTAGAAAATCTTGAGTTATTTACCGATTGTATGGTATTTGTGTTTCCATATATTCCTAAATTGTCTCATATATATGCATTTGTTGCTAAAGTATTTAATACTTCTATGCCTTGTGTGAAAAAAACTCACTCTCTCTCCGTATATATAAATACTAAAACACAAAGTATTGCTATACTAATACTTTATTCCACCAATGGATCATTTACGGTATTTGTTACTATCATTTAAAAGTGGAAAAAAGATGCAAACACAAAATATTAAAATACTATTTTATTTTTACCATGAAAGCTTCGTAGGTAACTTTCATACATAACTTTATATCAAACTCCATGGCTACTACTACCATGAAGCCAAGGCTACATTTTATTCCGAAGGTCATAGAAACACTAGTTATTTCTTCTAGCTAATGAGCAACTAGATAGGGTATTTGTATAGTTGAAGAACCTTCTTCCAAGATGGCCTGTTGCTAATATCATCCCACCAAGCACTCACATGCTTTCTTTCTCTAACCATATGCTCCTTTTTCATTTGATTCATTAAATAATGAGTAAATGGGAGATGGCTAAGGTCAGCAAGGCTGAAGAAATCCCCTGCCAAGTACTTTGTCTTGGATAGCCTTTCCTCATAAACGTCAAGCACCTTCCCTAGTTTTTCTTCACTCTCTTCAATAACTTTTTGGTCTGATGGATGACCCAATAATGGAGAAACCAAAATATTCATGACCAGGTTATAGATTGGTGGGTAATAGTTATGGGCTTCAACTTCAAGCCATTGCTCCACAAGACCCCTTTCTTCTATTGTCTTCCCTAACAAATCAGTCCCTTGGTTTTTGTACTTTTCAGCATAGTACCGAAGTATTGCCCTTGATTCTACACAATTGAGGAGATTAATGAAAAATACTTAAAGACCAAAAAATCACTAGATCAAAGTTATACTACAATCCAAAAGACAGTAAAAGGGCTAACCATAAAGAGTATAATCATCATCTTGAACAACAGGAAGCAATCCAAAAGGCTGCAAATTAGAAAAACATGGTCATATGATGATTTTTTTTTTTTTATCAAATATAGAAATTAAATCTTTCTTTGTCTAACACCATCAGATCCTGTTACTCAACTCTCAACAATAAGAGAATCAAAACTCTCTTACATAACATCTTTTGTAATCATAGTCCTCAATTACCACAATGTCCAAGTAAGATGTCGGATATGTTATGGTTACAGGATGAAATGAAAAACTTATAATACTAAGGGGCAAAAAATGCATCAAGAAAAATGTAATTAAACCTGCAACTTGAGGTACTCAGGCTTCTTATGCTCCCCCTTGAAGCCATCAACAAACACCGTTTCAAACTCGATTTCCTTCTCTATGAGGCACACTATCACCCGCTTTGGGTTAGCATAGTCTGGACCATAGACTTTAACAACCATTGTAATATTTAAAAAGCAAGATTAGGGCGATTTGGTTTAGGAGTGACGGTTAACCAGCTTGTATCATCTTATAGAGCCAGACTGATCAAAAAGCAATCAAGTTTCAACCAGGTTCAATGAATCAAAATCAACTCAATTAATGACAATTCAATAGACTAATAAAAAACATTAATTAATATATTAAAAGTCAAAAAGAAGTTTTAAATAAAGTATTATATATATATATATATATATATATATACTTTAAAAAATTTACTTAGATTTATTTCACTCAATAACTCATGTTTCACACCAAATTTTAATGATCCAATTATTAAATTAAAAATTCTTAATCCATAGATCAATTTTACAAAGTTTTAAAACATTTGAAAAATTTTTAATACTCCATTTCATTAATTCAAATTAATGGATAATCATAAAAATATCTTATATATTGATTTGAATTAATAAAATAAAATATCAAATACCTTTTAAATTTTTAAAAATTTACAAAATTGATCTATATATTAAGAACTTTTAATTAATTTAATGGTTGAATCATAAAAATATGATGTAGAACATAAGTTATTGAGTGAAGCAAGTCTAGATAAACTTACTTTTGGAATAAGCGAATTACTCCTCATATACATACATGTGTGTGTGTGTGTGCAAATTTAAAAAAAAATGATAATCGTATGTTACTTTGTTATACAAATTCAAATCAACGTATAAAATATTTTTATAATTATCTATTAATTTGAATAAATGAAATAAAGTATCAAATTCTTTTCAATTTTTAAAAAAATTTGAATAGTTATATGCAGTAAATTAAAACTTTTAATTCAATGGTTAAAAATCATTAAAATTTGATGTGTTACATGAGTTATTCGACAAAGTAACTATAAATAAACTTACTCTTGCAACAAGTGAACACACACACACACACACACACATATATATATATATATATATATACATATATATATATATACACATATATATATATATAGAGAGAGAGAGAGAGAAAAGGGATTCACTTACTCCAAGAATAAATTTATCTAAACTTACTTTACTCAACACTCAAGTTTTACATCAAAATTTGACAATCAAACTGTTGAATTAAAAATTCGTAATATATAAATCAAGTATGCAAAGTTTTAAAAATTTTAAAAACTATTTAATACTTCATTTCTTAATTCAAATTAATGGATTATGATAAAAATATTTTATACATTAATTTGAATTTATAAAAGGGAACATCAAATAGTTTTCAAAATTTTCAAAACTTTGCAAATTTGATCTATGTATTAAGAACTTTTAATCAACAGTTGAGTCATTAAAATTTAATGTAAAGTGTGAACTAGAGTAAGTATAAATAAACGTACTCTTAAAATAAATAGATCTTTCCTTTTATAAACTATTCATATAATTTATTTTACATATCTTATTATATATTAACGATTGAGAGTATAATTGTGTCAAATACTCAAAGTTTTTGGGCTATTAAAAATATAATTATATAAAAAAATTGTATTTTTTTTTATTTTTAGTTTTCATTAAACATATTTTAAAGAAATCTAATTAAAAATTAAAAATATAATTGTCTACAAGTATTAATGAAATATTTACATATATATATATATATATATATAATTAGTAATTGTATTCATAAATATTATAATTATAAACACTTTACAATGCCTATCTTTATTAGGAAACTATAATTATATTAATTTATTAATTATTAAATTAATTTGTATAATTCATAAATTAATTATATATCTCTCATGTGTGGGCTTTTTGACCAAAGTGGGGTTGTTTTAAAAGTTTATTACGTAAATGGGGTTGTTTTGAAACTATTTACGCCTTTGGGGCTGTTTATAACGGTGTCGCTATGGGCCATAGCGACACCGGTGACACGTGGCATTTTTTCACTTCAGGGAAGCCATGAAAGCCATATAGATAAAGTCGCTACAGCCCATAGCGTCACTAAACGGCTTAAATAAAGTCGCTATAGCCCATAGCGCCACCAAACGGCTTAAAAAAAATAAATTCAAATGTAAAAAAAATTAAGTTAATAATTTAAAAAAAAAAAAAAATAGTGGCACTATGGCCTATAGCGACACAGTGTCGTTATAGGCCAAAGCGCCACTGTGATAAATAATAAAGTACATTTTAATTCGTGATAAAATAATCTAAAGGAAAAATATATATATAAAGAAAAGAAATTACACAAAAAATAAGTTTATGGTCACCTCCTTGGCCTCCGGAGGGGCAGAGGTCCCTCCGACCTCCTTCGCTCCCCTCTTTCTTTTTCGGTTAACTTTCAGGGGGGAAGCATCTTCCTCTCGAGGCTCGGGGACCTCGAGCTCGGTAACATTGTAGCGATGCTTTAACTCACGCCACAAGTTCTTCCCCATGATACCTACAAACAGGAAATAAAACACATCAGCAAAAGGAATTTACACAAACTCCAACAAACCACCAAAAAACAAAATACTCACTCTCCAAGCCCCTCTCCCTGTACGCCGAGTT